TACCCTTGGCCATAGAAACTTTGATGCCTGGGAATGCTGTCTTCAGGGTTTCCCCTTTATTTTGTGGGTCAGATACAGCAGCTGAACACGGGCTAATTGAAGGTTTGCTGTTTGCTAACAGCTGGAACACTGGAAGTGCTCATCCAAACCACTCAGCTTAAATTAAAACACAGTAAGTGCTTCCTGAGCAGGGATCTAGAGCAGTTCCTGGGCAGTCTGTGAACATGAGAGATGGGTCCAGTTCACCGCACAAGTTAGTTGCAATTAATTAATGAACTGGTTCTATTAATTTACTCCCAAATCCAATCACTGGGGGATGAGGTCACAGCTGGCAGAGAAGTACCAGCAGATTGTGGAGTTTTCTGCAAAATAAATTAACAGCATTTAATTTCAAGAGTTCAGGAAAAAAAAATGTGTTAAGAAGTGATAGGGCCTGGAAATCAGATGGGGCTGGAGCCAGGAGGGGCATGGCCAGCTGTGAGGTGGGTGAGAGGCAGAGCCAGGCTTCTATCCAAGGGTTTTTATGTACCTGCTGCATCAGCCTGCTGCTTCCAGGACTGATCCACACACGTACAGAGGAGAAAGTCCTGGGGGAACCTAGTCTAAATTATTGTCTACCCCAAATAGATGTGATTCCAAGCAATTTCCTGAAGTGTGGGATTATTACAGGTAGGTGATGTATTGATTTTGAAGGCTTTCAAGTGAGCAGAAATATTCTTCCCTCATCCCAGAAAAGCTGAGGGGTTGGGGTTGGGGTTTTTTTGCCTTTTTTGGGGGGATTTTTTTGTTTTGTTTTTAAAGAGGGAAATGCACCATAATAATGCAGAAGTGAGGCATGGGAAGGCAGCGATGGGTCCAAGGTTTCCAAAAGATTTCTAGCCCCCGAATTATCTTCAAAGAGAGGTGAAAAGCAATGAATTGTGGTTCCCAAGGTCCCACAGATGTTTTCCTTGCTCCCTTTCCCCCCCACACCCAGCATCCTTCCAACTTGGGCAGGTGGGTGCTTACCAAGGGGAGTGCGGAGATAAATCCGTGTTAATCTCTGCTCACTGTATGTGAAGACTAATGGTTCTGAAGGTTGTTTGCTCACCTGTTTGATGAACTGATGGAAAATGAAGTCATATTCCTTTTCCTGTCTCTGCTCTAACAGAGGCCAAGCTCCTGTGTTTGGGTGTGTGATGTTGCAGGGAGCAGTGGGAAGATGGACTGGTGTAATTGTTCACATCATACCAGCAATCCACCTGCCCTGGGAAATGGTCTTCTAAATGTAGCTGCAAAAAAATTCAGCTTTCCTCATTAAAAACTAGACCTGGGCTGCCCAGATCCTCCCCAGTGCTGCCGGAAAGGGGTTCCTTAACATCTAACCCATCCCTTTTTCTCCCCCACACACTGGATGCAGGGAACAGGCTTTCTCTCCCACTTTGCAGCCATCACCTTCTGTATTTGCAGACTCAGTTTTGCCCTTGACAATCTCTTCTCTGGGTTAAGCAACTCAAATTCATTCAACCTTTTGTCTTTCCCAGATCTCCTGGACTGACTTCAGTGAATTTATTAGCGGGCTCTTAGGCCAGGAGGAGGGAAGGTCCTACCTGAACCCCATGCTCGTCACTGGAGGTGAGTATTCCTCCCCTGTCTTGATGCCTTGGGGCCCTTTGGGAGGTGCAGAGGATGCTTCCAGAAGTTCTGGGGGCTTTTTTGCCTCTGCCTCTTTCACAGAAGGCTGGCAGCACCACTGGCAACTGAGGAATCAGCTCTCAGCACCTTTATCTAAGGCCATCGATTTGGCTTTTCCTGAATGCAATCCTGCAAGAGTGGCTCAGTGCTTCTCCCTCCATGTATATATTTAGGTATTTTCCCATATCCAATTAATCCAGCTGCTGCCTTGATCCATCCTGCCTTTCATCCTCCTGCAATAAAGCATCTTTTGTTAGCAGCTCGCCGCTGGCCATGTTTCTCTGTCAGGCTTGTGTAAAACACCCTCAGAACCTGTGAGACAGGGACGCTCACTACCCTCTTCTGCAAACTTTGGCGCTGGTGAGGGGAAGGGAAGAGGTTCATTTTGTCCTGAGCCTGAGCCCCCTGGATGAGAGGCAGCTGGAGGGAAGGAGAGCTAAAGCATTGCTATGATTAGTAACCCCAGGAATTGTGAGAGAGCTCACCAGAGCATCAAATCAGTTTTTTTTCATTACTGGACACTGTATTACTGTTCCTGCATCTCAGCTTGGCCACCCAAACTGGGCCTAAGGGAATCTGCACCTTTTTCCCCTTTTCCCCATCAAAACCCCTTTGAAGTAATGGAATTTTTTCCCACTGATGATGTGTTTTCATTTCCATTCTCTCCTCTCCTTTACCCTGCCAGCCCAGGGCACACTGGCTGGAGGGTTCAGGTGCCTTCAGGGAAGGAGATGACTCTGTAGGGTTCATCCTGCTCCTGATGGGGCTGGGGACGTCCTGCTAGTATGGTCTCATTCCCAGGGGCTTAGGGAGATTGGATTTGGAGGTACAGTTCTTTCCTGGCTCCATGTTCCCTTGGCCAGCAGCGCAGAGGTGTTTTTTTGGGAAAGGTGCAATTGGGATTGCAGTCATTGGGCTGGGCATCACCTTAACTCTGCCCCTTTTGAGGTGTGTTGTACAAAGCAGGGACATTACAGGACATTTGGAGATGGGATATCTTCTCCAAAGCCCTGAGGGATGCAGTCCTCTTTGCCCCTTTCCCAGCAGAGGCTTTTGAGCAGGTCATTGCCATCCCTCTTCTTTCCCTGCTGATGAATGCTTTGCTGTTCCAAGTTTAGCATCAGTGGGTCTGTCAGAAAAATTAATTTTTTAATTAAAAAACATTTTTTTTCGGTGGTGCTTTAATGTCTGGATCTGGAGTAATTATTAGTAGCTCCAGGGAGACTGTGCTTTAGAAAAATTGTTGGTGCTACTGCAAAGGAATTTATCTGATTAACGTCAGCCTTCACACGTGGCTGTTGGGGGGGGTGGATGACGGTGGGAATCCTGCTGCTCTCAAGCAAAATGATTAATCATGGAAAACAAGGCAGGGTTCAGCAAGCGCTGATTTTCCACCTCAGAGGTGGATTGGGAGAGGAGGAGAAGCTCGGAACCATCAGTATGGAGCTCCCTTGCCATCCCCTTCCCCTGCATGTGGGTCCTGGGATGTGGCTCCAGTGACTGGAAAGGCGAGGAGTGATGGCTTTGTCCCTTGCTGGAATAAAGAGGAGGGAAACACCCAAAGAGGGCATGAGCAAAACATTGGCTATTCTTGCCCCCATCCTGGGTGGGAGTGGAGGGGCTGCTGCCACCCCTGAGGCTGGGCTTGCTCAGCAATGCCCCCAGCCAGCCCCTGCCCCGCCGCGACCACTCGCACGGGGGTTTAGGTTTCCCATGGCCAAATCCCTCTCTCAGCCAACTGTTCCCTTAAGGAACCAGCTTTCCCCCCAGGTCTTCCTTCCCAGCTCCTTATTAGAGGCTTATTCCCGTCCTGTAGTGTAAAATTCCTGGCTCTGGAGATTTTTGCTGGTTTAATCCCTGTAGCCCTGGAGGTGCTGGCTGGTCCTGTTTTGGATTCTCCTGGCTGGGGGAGATTAACTGGAGAAAGTGGCGTGAAGGCACCTGTTTCCTCATGCATCCCACTTCTGCAAGTACTTTCTGGTGATAGGGTCCTCAGGATGGAGGGAGGGATGGATGGAAGGACAGAACAACAGAAGAAGGGATGGATGGATGCAGCAGGAAGTCCAGGAGCAGGAGGGGCCAACTCGTGCACTGCTCAGGACCCCCTTCCCCTTGCTGCACCCATCTACTGAATTTCATAATAACATTATCATGTGCTTCCCTAATGGGTTCTGCAGGCTTCAGGCAGATCCTACCCTTTGTGCCCAATTAACAGGCTGTGCCCTGGAGAGTGGGAGGCAATATATATATTTTCCATGTAGTAATAGGACTTTTTTATTTCCTTTTTTTTTTTTAGTTTTTGGCTGTGGTGCTGTCATTATAATATTGATTTGTCATCCAGGTGTCAGGAACAGCTGGGTGGCAGAAAAAAATGGCAACTTTAATTCGTTTTGCAGGCAGGGGAGCGGGGGGGAAGAGTTTCCTCCAGGCTTTTTTACCCCCACCCCCCCAACCTTCCCTCTGTGATGCTCCATGTTCCACCCTGACAGGAACATTTATAAACTGCCACTGTGGGGCGTGTTATTAACAGCTCGATTCCTTAAAGATGCAATTAATTATTCACCTGCCTCCAAATCGGTTTTAAGCACCTTCTAAGCTGCAGCGTAAATAAACCTTCCCAACTTGCCTCTCTTCTTTTGCACATGTATTCCTGGTATTCATAAAGCTGAGCTATTTAAATTGAGCCAAACTAGCAGCTATTGTAAATTACTGCAGCTCCATTGGCTTCCCAGGCTCTCCGCTGAGTTACACCAGCCAGGGTTTTAACTCATCCTTGTGGGGTTGGCAAATGTCACTATTTTCTCATTTGCCATGTTTTTAGGCTATTTTTGCCTTGCTGCTAAATCCCTCCTGTTTTGTTGTGCCTCTCCCCCTTTAGCCCAGTCTCCCTTTTACCTGTTTGCTGTTTAATAAATCATCCCCTAAGTGATCCCCTGACTTGAGCATCAGCTACAACGCCTTGTGGAGGGTTTATTTATATTTTCTTTCTTCCCTTTTAGGAAAGATGTTGATTAGGTCTCAGCTGATGGCTGCTTTTGAAGGAGAAAATGCCGACTGTTCTCCAGGGGGTCTGTGAGAAAAAGGATCGTTTACTGTGGTTAAGTTTCTGGGCTGAAATTAAGGTTTGGCAAGTGGTAGATATTTGGGGAGAAAACATTTTAAGAAGAGGTTTGAACCTCTTTTCCTCTAAGGGAAAGCTGAGACCTGCAGTGGATTTTAATGGGAATGGATGGGGCAGAGCTCCTGAAATACCTTGTCATGACCACCCAGAAACGCTGAGCACCCAGGGCTGAGGGGACAATGGAGTGAGCAGGAATGGCTGGAGGATGCTCACCTCCATAAATAGTCTCTACAAAGAAAAGAAAGTAATTAAAAATAATGTTAAATGGATAAAAATCCCCTTTTCTGTTGCAGGGTCCGTCTCCAGCACGAACACAGAGGCTGCCTCCTGCACTTCAAGAGGCCGTGCCAAATCTTTGCATAGATTAGTCGTTAACAATGGGGTTAATAATGATAATGGCACAAATGTCCTGTGCCTGCATGAGCTGCACTTAGGAAAATCTGCCAGCACCAGGTAATCACCATGTTTCATACTGTCAACAAGATCAATCATGTCGAGAGCTCATTCATCAGTCAGCTGTGCCGGGGGCTTAGCAGGCAGGGGGGAGTGCAGGCAGCTCACAGAGCCCCAGAAACCAGCTCTTGGGGGAAAAGGGGTGGTCCCCCACGATTGGAGTGGAGGTGTCAAAGCCCTGGTGGGCTCCAAACCCAGCTGGGTGCCAGGCAAAGCCTCTCCTCCCTTCTCCTCTCAAGGCTGCTCTCACCGATGCTCCCCTCTCTGTGGTGGCTGGGGCTGTCAGGGCTTCCTCTGCTGGAGACAGATTGTTTGTTGCTGTTTCTCCATCTGGCTGGAATCACGTCTGTCTTCCACTGTGTTGTTTGTTGCCTGACTGCCACGTGTAAGCCATCTTTTCTCCTGTGCTTCCTACCAAGGAGATGTCCTCAGTGCCCCAGCACTGCCCTCAGGTCCCACTTCCCCACATGGGATCCCAGTCCACTAGTGCTGGAAACCCTGCCCCAAGGGACTTTCTGCTCTGAAAAATAGGACCTTGCCTCAAAAATCATCCCTAAACCTGTAGTCCTGGCAGTAAGGAGCCAGCAGACAGGGAATGGGCGGCTGTCCCAAGGCAGCTTTGCTCCAACAATCAGTGGGAGGTGATGGAGAGCCCGTCCCCATCTGTGGCGAGGCCAGAGCCGGACCCTGCCTGAGGGCAGTCAGCCAAGCACAGCCTTGCAAAAGGGATAAGAACAGGCTGCCAACAACATGTTATGGGCAGCTTGGGGTTCACAAACCCTGCTGGACAATCCTTTATGGCTGGTGTGTTGGCAAGGGAGAGACACCAGTCCTCCAGCCTCCCAGCTCCTCCCAACACCAACCCCTGTGGGAGCAAGGCACCCCGGTGAGCTGTGGTTCTGGGGTGGGCAGTCCCCACCCTGCCCATCTCATAGGTGATGCAGACTGATAGGTGAGCAGACTGGGAGCTGGGAAAGGACTCCAGGTGCTGCCAGCTTGGAGCTGCCATGGCTGGCAAGGCTGTCACTCCTGGTCTGCATGAATCAGACAACCAAAGGCACGGGGACAGGGAGGGGACACAGCCCTGCCTGTCACTCTGCTGGCCTCTCCATCCAGCACCAAACCACCCTTCCTCTGCCAGCTCTGCTTGCACGGATCTGCTGGCCTCCATCCTCTGTGCTAGGTGGGGATGCAGCCTGGCCCCCCTTGGCCAAGGAGGCTTTCGTCTTGCTGCCAGAGCAGGATTTTGGGCAAAAGATTGTATCCTTTATTCTGGGTCTCACAGTGAAAAAGGAGCAAACCATCCTACCTATCTCACCATTGTGCCAGGTAAGGAGAACTGGGAAACCCACCACAGGCACTGGTGATGCCCACCTGCAGACAGCCAAGAATGTGGCCCAAAGGACTTGGCACTCAATTTTAACTCCATTACCTGCATGGAGGCTTTGCTTGTGCAACACTTTTATAATTCCTGGGACAGATATCATTGCAGAGCACAACCTGTGACCCCAGGCTCACAGTGTCCTCTCCAGAGGTTGACCTGAACTTTCTCAGAAGCTGTAAACCTTCCTTGCAGTGCCGTGGCCAGCATCCTCACCTTCCACAGCGTGGTACCCAGCTACCCCAGCACCTCTGCCAAGGATGCTGCAGATGTTGTCCAGCAGGTAACAGCACCTCTGTCCTCATGGCTGTACCGGGAGGGGATGCAGGGCTGATAGTGGGGCAAACCCCAGGAGCTCCTCATTTGGCTCTCTCCTCCCTTCTCCCAGTCCTACCTGGCCCATTCCCCTCTTCCTCACAGCAGCAACCCTTTCTTCTTTACCTCTCTTCCTTTTCCCCACTTCTGGAAGGCTGCTTGATTGCCTGGCTCCCTTCATTAGCATGATACCTCCTGGAAAATTGGTAAACAGAGGCGTATGAATGAGGTGTTGATTGCAATCAGCAGGGGAGAAGGGGGGCTGAGAGTGCTGGAGAGGCCGAGGATGCTTCTCAATCACCCAGTGGTCCAGGTCGGCTGCTGGAGAGGATCCACTCCCCAGCACGAGCTGCCTGGGTTGGCCACCACCCCTCATGGCTCTCCAGCAGCCACCTGAGCATCCCTCTGCAGAAGAGTGCTGCATGTTCACACCCTTACCCTTCCCTCTTGGGGCTGTGGGATGTGGTCTGGGAGAGCCCATCCTTGCTGCTGGGGTGTGTGGGATGGCTGTGTTCCAGGACATCCTGTCTCACGGGATGCATTGCTGGGCTGATGGCAGGGTGCAGCAGGGTGACAGCACCCTGGGGCTCTTGGAAAACAAGAGCTTAAAGGCATAAGCATGATCCAAATCATATCCTATTATTAATCTGGACATGCTGCAATGGAGCTGGTCCCTAGCCAGCTGTTCCCCTGGCACCATTGGAGGTGTGGCAGGGGCAGGCAGAGGTTACAGGGCTGGTATCTGGTATCATAGAGGGGAATTTGCCTAATTTCTGGCCTGTTTCAGGGTGAAGTGGCTGAAACCACCTTCCCCAGGCCAGCTCCAGTGCTGAGTTAATGCTACCTGGCTTTGTCAGCACCACAAAGGTGTTTGGCATCTTAGAGGTGACAGCTTGCAGAAGTGATGAGATGTGGGTGCAGGTCATCCTCCACCACGCTGCAACATCACCAGGGGAGCAGGGAATGTGTGGAGCACTCTGTCAGGAGCTCTGTGCAGGAACCTGGATGCACAGTGAAGGTGGGCAGCAGGGGCAGTGATGCCCATCACCCAGCTTGACAGTGTCAGATTCACCCTGCTCCCAGCCCTGGGCTGCTGCCAACGTGCTCACCCACGAGTGTCTGTCATTAAGCATCTATTTAGGCATGCAGAAGTTGCCTAATTTTTCAAGGGTGCTGCAAACCCCCAGTGTCCTTGAAGTCAGTTGTTGCTGAAAGTACCTGATACCTCTAAAAATGAGTCATGGGGTACATGCATTTGATGCCCAGTAGAAATAGGTGGGCAAAGGGTCAGCCTGAGTGTGGAATGGATGTTTCCCTATCAGCAAATGGGGTATCAGAGCATATCAGAACCCCACTGGCTGTTGGGAAGCGATGCCCTGACTGCATGTAGAGGCAGGCTGCAGCCCTACATTGCTGGAGTAACCCCAAGAGTGATGGGAACCCCCCTGGGGAAGCGCCTTTCCCTGTGGAACATTCCTGTTGCCACCCAGGTTAAGTCTCTGCTCCCTGTCCGCAGCCCTGATGCTCCACAAAGGTGGCCTTTGCTCATGGGAACCAAACTTCCTGCAAAGCCCTGCCTAGAAAAGATAGCAGAAATAGGATGCCAGAGGATTATTCCCCAGCCATGCTCAGCAGGAAACATGACCGCTGAGGATAAAGGCAGGAATTAGAGGAGGACACCTGAACATGGGGGGCTTAGGCTGGGAGAAGGATCCCCGCAGAAGGAGGCAAAACACTGGCATTGGTTTCTACTCCCCTGCATCTGTTATTTGACCTTATAAAACTCCATTTGTGGAGGTGGTTGTTATTTTTCGTTAAAACTTTTAATCTAAAATCCCATTAGGCTTAGCAGTGTGTTCATTTGTGAGCAGAAGAAAAACAGTTCAGTGTTTGCTCATTCCTGTATCTTCCTCACTTCAAACAGATGTAATAAAGCATTTTCTCTTTCCCTCTTGTTTCCCTTTGTGGTTTGGCTTTTTTTTAGGAGCCTCCGAGGCAGTTCAGCTTGGTTTTGCCCACTTCCAGCACCGCACATCTCTTCCAGCTCTGCTGCTTTCATGTCTGTTGACATGAAATAAAATTTGCAGGATGTCCTCTGAAGCGGGGACTTTTCTTTGCCTGGCTCTTCTGCCAGTGGGGTTAAACCAGCCCATCCAGACCAAATTGTCTGACTTTAGGATAAAATAACATTAAAGACACATCCAGGGCATGTTTTTGTGTGTATGCTCATCTCTGCTGGGCAGCAGCAGCCTATGGAGGGACAGACTGGTCCCCACGCTCAGGAAGGCATCACAGTGGCCGTTTACAGAGTTTTTTCTTCACTCTGCTTTCTCTGTCATCTTTATTTCAGGAATTGCTTTAAAACCAGGCTTTGAATAATTCACTGGGAGCATACGGCAGTCCACCCTGACTGCTTCGTCACAGCTTCCCTTGACTTCAATAATTCACTTTCCCACCAGGAGCTGATGTGCTTTCCTTGTACGTGGGTTTGCTGTCGAGCACACCCAGCTCCCAGCCAAAGCTGGGCATGAGGAGAAGTAAAAGGGGATTTAAGGCCGAATGCCTTTGTTTAACACTACATTTCAGGCAGGGCAGAAGGTTCACCAGGCAGCTTTTCCAGCTGTGGGAGAGGCAAGAAGGCAAGGTGAGACTGGTTGTGGCTTGGTGACAGAGATGCTCCTCTTGCTGAGGGCATTGGTCCTTCAACCCCTTCCTTGCTGTGAGGCTTTGGGGCTGCAGCTCCAGTGGGTCAGTATCCACCCCCCAAGAGTATCCCAAACCCCCAACCACCAGGGATGTGCCCCAGCCCCACCACTCCAACTGTCTGGGAGCTGCACCACACCTCAACCTTCTTAATGAGGTATCTGGGCTTGTGTTTTCCCCCAGAAAATCAAGCCAGCATGTGTGAATGACCTGGTGATGGCCAGGAACAGTGGGAATGGCAATAAGCTGTGGGGATTCAGTAGCCTTTCTACCCAGACCCTGCTTATCTGGATAAATTAGGGTTTAATTTAAAGGAAACACTAAGGCTCCTATTGCAGTGTATTGATGGAAGAACGTATGATATGCATGGGGAGATGCTAAAATATGTAATGTACAAACTCTATATAACGGTGCTTTTTCTGTAGATCTCTTTTCCTGCCATCTCAGGAGCAAGGCTGGTGAATGATGTGCAGCAAGGAATCACAGCTGTGAATAACCAGCAAATTCCTGGGAGGAGAGCCGGGTACCAGATGCCGTGGAACACGTCTTTGCAGTGGTGCAGTCTGAGGCAGGTGAGGGTGAAGATGCTCTGGTGCCTGCGTAAGAGCGTGGCACGGGGGAAGGGGCTTAAGCTGATGCTGAGTGTGGTGGATTTAATTTCCTCCCAGTAGCACTTCAATATTACAAGGTGCTCCAGAAAAACCAGAGAGGGCCTGAGGCGAAATGCAGCCGAGTCAATTGAAGTTAACTTCCCTGGGCACGAGGCCAGGCCCCTCTTTAAAGACTATTTTTCCAGAAAGGCTGCAAAAATGTATTTTCAGTTGCTTTTGATTCAGCTGCCTTGAGCCTGCTCAAGTGAACTGTGTGCAAAAAGAACCCTGAAAGCTTGGGCTTGCAGGAGAGGGTGCAGACTGTGGGGAGCTGGCCTTATATTGCCCCCAAATCTCTTGAAGGAGCCTCATTAAGTACTACAGGGCCACTATAGGGCCCCCCAGCCCTTCCCTCCTCCAGCATCACTGAGGAAGACTAGTGGACTAGGCAGGCTGGAGGAAGGTGGGGGATGCCTCCAGCCTGCAGGGCATGGAAAAGGGTTTGCCATCAGGCAAGGCAAAGCTCCCCCCATACCCAATCCTGACTGGGGACAGAGAGGCCCCCAGCACTGAGGGACCCATGGCTGGGAAGGGAGGCACCAGGCAAGCTGAGATTTAGGGACAGAGGGTCTGGACAGATTTGCTGCAGGTCAAGGCTGAGCTGAACTTGTGTCCAGGATGCCTGGGGGGCTTGAGGCTTCATGTCCTGGGGCTGATAAGGCAGAATGTCCTCTAGCTCTGCTAGCAGAGTTTCTCTCCCTTAAGGCTGTGCTTCCCACACTGTGGCGTGGGGCAGGAGGGGTTTTCACAGCTTTTCTCCTCCTTCTCACTCTCCCCAGTCTGCTGCTGCTGCTCTGGATAGCTGCTGCCTCTCTAATTGCATTATAGCTGATGGGGGGAAGGAAACCACTGCTTTGGCTTCAAACAAACGACGCCCTAACCCAACTCATTATCCACCTGACTTGCTCCCCAACCTTCCGTGACACTCCCGTATTTGTCACGCTGTTCCAGCACGGCTAACGAGCAGAGCAGCCGAGGCTGTGGCCGGCAGCTCCCCCAGCTCTGGACCGGGGCTCCATAAACGAGCTTGTGTCCAGGACCCCAAGGGGATGCTCTGCCTCTCTGCTGTGTTCATCCTTCTCTTTGCCATCATCCTTTTTATTTGTAGGCGCTTCTTCTGGCCTACTTGCATCCAGTTCATTTCCCTTTTGTTAAATAAAACCTGACTCCAGGCCTTATTTGGCAAATAGATCTGGGAGAAGCTGGGCTGGCTCTTTCTTCTCCTGACAAGCCTTTCAGGATGGGGGAGATGAGATGGAAAGAGAGACAGATGAATAAGATGCAAAAGCAGTGAAGAAAAATAAACAGGAGATAAAGGGGATGTGGGAGAGAGAAAAAAATGAAGTAGATCCATAGCTGGGATGGGAAGCAGAGGGAAGACAAGGGGAAGACCTGCTAAACCCCAACCAGCATGAAGTGAGGGACTGGGAGGGGGGGGCAAACTGGGAACACATTGTTATAACGTGTGTATAATGTGTCCTTTCCCAACTCCTCCTGGCCATGCCTGCATACCGATTTGGGGAGGGGGACCTTCTGTGGTAAAGAAATGGCCATGCTTCCTCACAGGAGCTCCTCTCTCCTCTCCTCCAATATCCCCCAACCATTTTCCCCCAAGATGTAGGTTGTTCATGGAAGCAGACAAGCACTTTGGCCTGACTCTGTCTCCAGCTGTCAAATGCTGTAAATATCCGGGAGGTGGTTAAAGCTGGGAAACAGCAGAGATGCTTTAAACACAGCCCAGAGCCAACCCCACTGCTGGTAGGACTCATAAATATCCCCTCTGTGTTCTTGCTCTGTCAGGAGGCAGCAATAAAAGGGAACAAAAGCCAAAGCCATTGTGGGGTGGCTTCAGGATCTCTGGTGCCTCCTTACCCCTTCCAGAGCATGTTGGATAGCAATGAGGAGTAAAACCCAGTTAGATGAGGGGAGCTGATGGCATGGGGCTGTTCTCTGGGCACAGCACTGAGATGGTGAGGTTGGGAGCTGGTACAAGAGGCTCAGTGTGGAAATCATTGTTTTTTCTATTATTTCCCCATTTTCATCTGGCTGAGTAGCACCGAGCATCTGCCTTAAGGCAAGTCACCTGGCCCAGCTCTTGAAACCACCAGCTTCCTTGGCAGCAGATGAAGTCCTCAGCTGAAGGGAGAACGTGGGGGCTTAAAATTATCCATGCTGGAATCAGGTGAGAGCGAATGCTGTTATACAGGGCATGAAATGAGAAATAGGTAATCCCCAGCAGGAAGCAAACCCTGGGCATTGCTGGGGAAGCCAGGGAAATGTCCTTCCTTTATCAAGGGGTCACGCCACCCCATCAGCCCTAAAAGCACAGGACCTGTGAGGCAGCAGGACACATGCTCAGGGAAGGTGGAAGCCTCATCTGGAGGCAGCGCTGGCGGCATAACTCTGTCCCAGTTGTGATTTTTATAATAAGCTGAATTCTCAGCTGGACCCAGCAGAAAATCAATAGTGGGACTTGAGAAAGCAGTCAAAATCCATGGAGCTAAATTGGCCAGCCCGCAGGCAGCTGGGTGGCTTTTTGGGCATTGTGATGTGTGGCTGCACTGAAAGGGGAAAAATAGAACAATTTCAAAAATTCTTTGAAATAATTGCCTAAGATTATTGAATTATCTTAAAATACCAGGGCAAGATGCAGAAGTGGCTTTTAAAAAGTTCGTGGTGGGAGCTGGAGGAGCGAGGGAAGCCACCTTCCCACTGCCAAGGGCATCTGGGGACAGTTAAGGTGGGTTTTTCCCTTTCCCAATTAGATCCAAAGGATGCCTTCCACTCCACCTGCAGAGCCTTATCTGCAGAGCAGCACATCGGCTTTAGCAAAAAGCCTCTCATTCTCCAAAGTCTCTTTAATTCCATCCTTTTAGATCTGCCTTTTCAAGTGCAGCCCCAGCGCCATCCATCTGCCCTTTCTATAGAGACGGTGTCCTGAATCGTTTTATTTTTGGCAGCTTTGCCTTCATCTCCTCATTGGCAGGGGAGCAAGGAGAAGATATCCCCCTCCCTGCAGCCACTGAGGGTGCTGTTGGATTTGGGGCTATTTTGGTCCTCAGCTCCTCTCCCACTGGTGGATGCAGGACCGATGGACGCTGCTGGGCAGTGGCTGTAGGCACCTCCCAAGGCTGTGAGAGCCTGTCCATGACTTACTAACATCATGTGGCTTTTGCTGGTTCATAGCCAGGTGTCTGTAGGGACACCTGGCTATGCCATGTGCATCCTGCATCCCACCCTGCATCCACCTCGTGGTAGCCCAGGCCCAGGCCGATCTTTGAACATTCCCCACTCGGAGCTGGGGAAGGCATGGGAAGCCTAGCCTGGAGTTTTCCATGCCTGTCAACCTCTTCCAAGCTATAGGAAAAAAGACAGATGAAGAAAGCGAGGAAAAATATAAAGAAACAATTTTCTTCTGACATTTTTCTTTTTCAATGTGAGCCCTTCTGGGAGGAGGTCTTTAAAATTAATAATGTTCTTTCTTTTTCTCTCTCTCTTCCCGAGACTCCTGTTTTAAATTAATGAAAAGTCAAATACTATTAAGTTCTGATCATGTGTTTGTGATAATGAAGGGACTGATTTCCAGCCAGTTTACAACTCTGATCCGTTTCTCCATCCCCCTCTCTTTTTTGGCTCTGATTAAAACTCTCTCATGGGCTCCCTCTGATTTCCAACATTTGTGGTCCGAGGCTAGGGAAAGCCTTTTCACTGAGCAGATTTGAAGGCTTTTTAGCATTCTGGTATTTTTCTCCCACGTCTGCTTAGACCAGGGGTGATAGATGCTCTGCCAGGAGCTGGTGGGTGCTCCCAGGGGTCTCACCTGGGGTGCTGCAGGACACAGCACACATTAGGGCTGGACCCTGCCACTGGGATGCAGCTTTCAAGGTTAATCTGGGTTTTCCCCTATAGTGACTTTACCGAGACACTGTGAAAAGGAAAAAAAATTCCTCTGATGGCCACAAACTGCCTTGGGAAAGGCCAGACAGGGATCTCCAGGGAAGGGCTTCCCAAATGCCTGAACAGCTAGGAATTGAGGCAGCCCTTGCTTTGCTTGCTTCCCTGACAAGGTCATATAGTGAGGGTTGCACAGGTGGCAGTATGCCTAGAGGGATGATTTAGGGAAGGACAAAGGGATGGCCTCACAGCTAGATGGGCCCATCCCCTAACGGATGGGCAACAAGGTGACAAGGTGCTCTTGCCGATGGCTTCATTAATCACCTGTCTGCCTGGGTTCTGCAGCAGACTGGAAGAGCTCAAAGGGTTAATCTGTAATTTAGGACTCAACACCAAAGATACAGTTGTTGGGAGAGAAGAAAGCCCTGTCGAAGGCTTTGGGAAATAATTTGCCTTGGCACTTTCTTATAAGAGTGAATTGATTTTTGCTGGGCTGTGTCAGGCTGAATTATGAATGGGGGAAAATAGGGCTGGTGCTCCTAGAGCTGAAGGTGTGATTAGAGGCACGTGCGGAGGGGGCTGTGGACTGCCTCCTTCCAGGACTTCCCACGTGAATCCAGGACTACAGTATCATTGTCCTCAGAGTCCTTGGAGAGATAGGTTTGCTTCAGCCCCAACACAGACGTGGCCCCCATATCGATCCCCCAGACCGGGCCAGGAGAGGCCTTTCCTGAACCATCCAGGACTGTTTCCTCTCTCTGTCCAGCCAGAAGAGCAGAAGATCCTGGTTGCTGAAGGGTGAAGCAAAGCATTACGATCATCCTGGGAGGATGTGGGAGTGTGCAAGAGGTGATCCCACTACCCTGCTCCCAGTCCTGCTCTGCCCACTGCAGTGCTGCTGGGAAGGAACCCTGTCCCCAAGCACTGTTCTTGTCCTTAAAAACTCCTGGTGCTGCCTCACTGCCTGCATCCATCTCCATCAGTCAACGCTGAGTCCGCTGTCCCCCAAGTGCTTTCTCGTGGCCCGCTTGATGCTGCTTTCCAAGGCAAAGGCTCTCCTGCAGGCTGCTGGGAATTGTAGTGCAGTAAAGCCAGCAAGCAGGAGCGGGGACAGAGCCAAGCTCCTGGCTGGCTGCTGGCCTGGCCTGTGTGGCTCCCCTCAGCAGAACCAGCACCAGACCTTGCTCCCAGCATGCAGGGTCCCCGGGGAGCCTGCATCTGCCTCCAACACCAGCCGCCTCTCCACAGCTCTGAGCATCCTGCCATGCAGCTTGGCTTTTGTTTGTCAGCTCAAGGGGAAGCTCTGGGAAGAGAATGAGGTCTGGGCTTTTTCTTTTTTTCCCCTTGCCCTTTTATTTATTATCCTCTGTTATGAACCAGATCCAGCTCATCAGTAAGACCTAGGAACAGCAATTCCTGAATAAGAGAGACGCTGTAGAAAAGGCTCGCCCGATCGCAGCCACTTCCCAAACAAAGGGGCTCAAACTACCCACTTCCTTCCCTGCCCCTCTTCCCAGAAAGTCTCCCCCAAAGAACAGCTTGTTCAATAAGCCATCTGCTCCGTCATCACAATAACCCAGTAATAAGCACCGAGCTCATCCAGCTCGGCACACCTCCCCGGTTCCTGGGAGGATGGAAATGCCCTGCTCCCCAGGGAAACAGGCGGCACGGGGAGGCGGCAGCTATCACACGGCACATCCAGCACTCTGGGAGGGGGGAGATGGGGGCGACCCGTCCCTGTTGCCTCCTGTAGCCGTGGTTTAGCCCTCCCCAGGTAATTGTGCATGGAAATGGATTCCCATTTCTCTGCTCAATCGTCCTGTTTCCTGTCACAGCCGAGCGTTTTGCATGTGCAATTACCCGTCCCCGCACATATCCATGGGCACGCTCAGGTGTCGCCTGCCAGCCTCCGGCGGCCGCTGTGCAGCCACGTCGCGCTGCGTTTGGGCTGTGATAGCAGTCAAGCAGAAGCCATTTTCCATATGAAGCTGCAGGACCTATGGGATAAATAAATGAGTTGGAAAGCCAAGCAGTGTAATGAGTTAATTTAAAACCTGCCTCCTCTTCTTGTATATTAATTTACTTGGCATTATGTTTAATCTTTCATTTACTGGAGTTACACTGATTTCTTTCTCCCCTTCCCCCTCTTGGCAGCTCCCTGGGATGTTCTGCCTTCGGCAGGAGCAGAAGGAAGATAAGCCAGGGCTGGAGAGTGTGGACCAGACTTGGGCCAAGAGGACCTGCTGGGTCCCACAGGAGCTCAGGGTGGCACCTCACAGGTTTCTGTTCTTGAGGATGCCCAGCAGGCAGGTGTGTACTGAATTCCCGGCAGTGGAAGGGAGACCACCACTGGGTATCCATGCTGCTGTTCCCAGGGTGCTAATTACTTTAACCAACTGGGAGGGTGGCCCGGGTAATTAATCAGCTCTAATCAGGACAATTGGAGCTGACAAGGCATCAGGAAGTGGAAGCAAAGGACTGGGTGGAGGAGCTGAAATTTGGCTGGGGGTGATCCTGCTGGACCATCCACCACACTGCTCCTGTCCTCCTGCCAGCAGCCACAAAGCCTCGGGTGTGAGTGGATGGCACTTCACATGAGCACCTCTCTGAAGGGCACAGGAGGCCAGCACAATGAATAAAAGGCTGCTGCAGCCAGGGAAAGCAGGACAGAGCCGGCAGCAGCAGCTTTGCCGTGAGAGTGAACAAGTGAACACAGGTCCTGGGCTTTGTGTCACCCCATAATCAGGCTGTGATGCAGCCTTGTGACCGTGGCTGGCCTGGATCCCCACCAGATTGTCTGCTGGTCCAGTTGAAGAGAAACTCGAGGGTGAATATTGCAGGCAGTGGGAAGTGTGGAGGGAAGGAGAGAGGGAGGGAGGGAGGGAGGGAAGGAGCAGCAGATGGGGCTTGGCAGGGCTCACCAGGAACCCGATGATGCTGCAGCAGTGAGTACCAGAAAGCGTGGCAGGTGCGTCCCATGGCATCAGGATGCTTCACTGGGAGTATCCCTGACCATTCCCATCACCTGTCTCTGAAGGGGATTAGCTTACGCTGTTTCTTAGAAGGACTGATGGATGATCTGAAAGAAAGAGAGACTATTGTGGAGTTTATTTCAGATAGGCTGACCTGACAGACTGTACCTGAGGCCATCATGGCAGGGTAGGTTAATGCCAGAGAGAGGAAGATGGATGCAGGGCCCTAGGGCTGCATCCAGCCCATGCAGCAGGGGTCACAGTCAAGAGGTTTGATCTGTGCCCACTGCCTCTTTTGTTTGGAGGTGCATGAGGAGCATCACAGCAGCTGCTGCTTGGAACATCCCCCTCCCTCCCCTCTTGCTAACGAACGTAGGTGAAACTTGCTGTGCCATGACTTTAATCAGCAAAGAAAACTGCAAAGGCTCTTTTTTTCCCCTTTCCCCACCTGCTGAATTCAGCACTGAATGCGAATTAGGTGGCGTTTGAGCTTGGCTGTGTGCCCGCTTCCCGTGCTAATGCAGGGAGCCAGACTCTCCCGCACCTCGAGCCTCTCAGGCTAATCCAAGGCGTGCCTAGATCAGCCCCTGGCATTTCACACTGTGTGAAATAACCCTTGGAGCTTAAAGGCTGCTTGCCGCTGGCTCAGCCTGTGCAACTCCTCTGAGCATCCACCGATAAGATCAGCCTGTGCCAGGGAGTGGGACCAGCCCTTGGCACCCATGGGTGTCTGGGCAGAGTGGCTTCAGCAAGGACATGCCTTGGGAGCCAAGCCCACAGCCCTGGGGAGCGTGTGGTTGCATTATCCAATGGCCAGTGTAGTCAGCAGCAATGGGCAGCCCCAGGAAGGGATGCAGGAGTCAGCACCCTGGAGCTCTGCCTGTGTGGGGTGCTGGAGAAGTACCCCGGGGCTCACACCTGTGGGTCTGTGAGCACAGCAGGAGTAATTTGCGGCTCCATTAGCACTGGGAGTCAGTATAGCAGCCCTGCAGTGTGCCCATTTGATAAGAGGCAAGTTCCACTGAATAATGAGCAGTAATTGGATTTCAGGGTTAACCAGCTTGCAGCAAAAATAGAAAAGAGCAGAGAGCCATTGGATATTTCTGTTCTGGCTCATCAGACACTGGAGGTTTATCTCTGCTGAGAATAGCACAGGAGAGGTAAAGTTATTAGTGACCATCAGAGCATGGTGATACCATCTTCCTCTTGTGTTTAGGGATGAGTCTGTGCATCCTCTGAGTTTCATTTAAGGCTATGGAAGTTTATAACCGCCTATGGGAGAGTTCCATAAGTACCCCATTGCAGTGCAGCAGAGAAGAGAGAAACCAGCTCTCCTTAGTGCTCAGGAGCACCCAACCTCCCTGCTGCTGACCAGAGGCAGAAGGCAAGGTCTCCTGCCAGTGTCACCTCATCCAGATGACAATCTGGCATGGGAAAGGCCAGCAGATGTGCAGCACCACTATGCTTGGAGCTGCGGTTGCATCCTTTGGGGTGGCATCAGCAGAGGTGGAGCAGGCACTGGTGGCAGTCCCAAGCACTGGGAGATGCACACAGCCACAATGGCCCATCTTCCAGCAAGATGAATTTGTGCTAGAAGTGGTGTGGAGAAGTGCTAATAGCATGGTGGGGGAATGGAGAGCCTGTCTTATGAAGCTGAAAGCACTTGGCTTGTTTAGTCCAGCAAAGGAAGGCAAAGCAAGAATGTGATTACTCTCCATAAATATATGAAGCAAATAAACACCAGATACAAAAAGGAACCATTTAAGCTGAAACACTGTGCTGGCATAAGAACAAATGTGCTTAAACTGGCTAATGTAAGCTGGAAATTAGGAGACAATTTTTAACCATGGGAGCTGCAAGACAGTTTTTAGCCATGGGAAGCAGAGGAGGAAACATACCTCATTGCTTTTGCAAATGGAGCTGGACCAGCATGTGAAGGGAGCAGAAAGCAGGCTGCCCACAACTGCAGGGGCCTGGAGTGGGAGCCAGCAGGGTCCTGCCACTCCAGGCTCCTTCCAGGATAGCTGCGCGCACGGTGTGCTGCCGGCATCTCCAGAGGTCCTCAGTTTCCCAAGGCAGGGAGCACTGTTCCCACAGGCAGGGCCTGCTGACACCAGTTTCCCTCTACTCAGGGGCTGGCAGGTACCCAGCACTTGGGACAGCCCCCCAAAGTGCTCGGGGTGCAAGGGACGATGAACCAAAGGTTCAACCAAACGTCAGCCACCAGCCTGGAAGGTACCACAGAAGCAAAAGCTTCCACCTGAGCAGGGAAGCTCACAGCACCTGGATTTGGGCTGGCAACCTGCTGCTGCCATCACTGCTTGTTCTGGATTTTCCTTGGGGAATGGCACACAGCTGGGCCACCAACTCCAGATTTTACTTCGTGCATTAAATTATTCTCATTTCTCTTTATATTCTAGGGCCTGCCTAAAGGATGGGTGAAGAATCTGCTGATGAGGACTCTAATCAGTTTTGAGTATCTCAGGTAATTTCTCAGCTAGAGATCATCTCCAAACAGGAAATCAGATTCGGGAGATAGCTGCTTTATATAGCACATCATGGTGGACTCAAGCAAAGCTTGTGTTAATAAGCAGAGCTGGAATAAGATCATTACTAACATTATTCATTAATTGCTTTACAATCCTCCTACCAAGTGGGCTTTCCTATCTCATTTATCTCTAGTGCTAATGGAACAGGAATAATTCTAGACCCAATCCTGACATCTGGGCAGGTTTTTTCGTGATGTATCTCCTTCCTGAAACTGCAGGAAAGATGTTCCCTGCCTTCAGCGTGTTTTGAGTCTGGCAGCGTGCCTGGGATCGTAGTAAGACACAAAAGCATCTGATGGAAATGGCCACTGGATGGAGCCTTAAAGGTCATAACAATCCCCCGCTCCGGTACAGATGGTGTTCACTGATGGAAAACATCGAGCGGGAAAGCAGTGAGCATCGGGACTGAGGGACGCTGCAGAGCTGGGCTGGGCAGTGGTGCCCAAACTCACCGCCCTGATCCCAGTTCCAGACACCTGAGCGAGCTGCCAGCACCTCTGCTTGCTTCTGCCCTCAGGTCCTGACCTCGCTGTGGTGGCTGTAGATTCCTCGGGGCAGGGATGCACTCACTGCTGGGGTTGCTCTAAAACACCTCACCAAACACATTGCTTCATTCCGGCAAGACAAACAGAGATAAAGTGACTGCGTGAAGAGAATTCCAGTTTTGATTAAAACCCACAGACCTGTAAGCCTCGGCTCCCTCTTGAATAAGGATGAGGATAATATTGGCAGGAGAAAATGAAAACAGCTGATGATATCTGAAGCAGAAGCGTGGCAGGGTGTCAGCTTTGGGAAAGGGGCTCGCAGCTCTCTCCTGGACAGGGTCTGGCGTGCCGAGCCTTTGGTGGCTCCGCTCCCTGCAGCCCTGGAAAAGGGGTAAGGCAAACCAAGCCAGTGGGATAAGGATTTTATGGATGAATGAATGAATGTGCTCACTAAAAGGGGGCCTGCCGAGAGGGCGAGGGCCATCAGTGCATCCAGCTGTTGGCCCTTATCGTCATCGCACACCCAGCACTCCAGGGAGCCCGAGGGGGTGATGGTGAGCCAGGAGGGGTGCGGCGCATCTTGGAAGCGATGTCAAACAACACGTTGTCCCCGTGCTGGCTATGCAGGCGCTCTCCCTTTAAAGCAATCCCGGGGTCGAGAACGGGGAGGAGGCGGAGGCGGGCGGGGGGCGCGGCACCTCGGTACGGCGGCGGCTGCTGCGGGAGGTACCGGGCGCCGCGGCGGCGAGCGGAGCCCGGCAGCAGCCGCCAGCCCCGGGGTATGCGGGTAAGCGGGAGAGGAACGCGGAGGAAGGCGAAGAGCGGCGGGGAGCGGGACGAGGGAGCCCGGCCGAGCCCTCCCGAGCGGCGGAGGATGCGCCGAGCCCCGGGGAGTCGAACCCAGCTGCAGCGCGGCGCGTCCCTCCCGGCCGCCGCCCAAGCCCGCGGAGGTAACGGCGGCGGAGGGGATCGGGGGCACCGGGATGGGGCTGGGGGGAGAGAATATCCATCTTCCCGGAGGCAGGGGGGACACCCATGGTCCCTGGGGTCCTGCGGCTCTGCAGCGCGTCACTCAGCAAGTGGCACTTGGTCACCCCGCGGCGGGGCTGGAATGAGAGAAGGGTCCCCCCGCGGAGTGAAGGGCTCCCTGAAGCAAAGAGCTGGGGCAGGCAGAGGTGGGGTCGCCGTGCTCTGGGGCACCCCATTGCTCGAGGGACTGGAGGCCCAGCTTGGAGTAATGGCAGATGCTCAGCGCCAACCTCAAAACCGCCCCGATCGAAGCTCGGCTGTGAGGTTGGATGCATCCAGTAACCTCAGGCAGCTGGCATGGGAGATGGGCAGAGGGCGGCATAGGGTGACAGGTTCCCATCTTGCCACCTGCTCCCTGAAACTGGCCAACTTTGGGGCACCTGGCACCCCATACTGCCGGTGGTTGGGGGGCAATGGGAGCCAATCCTTGTTTGTACTTGAGCTAGAGGAGATGAGAAGGGTACCTGGATACCACAGCTGTATCACTAAGGACTGACAGCTCCATCATGGATGATACCCCAGGTTTAACAACAACAGGGGTTCAATTTGATCCCAGACACTTGGTTTCCAGCTCTTTGTTCACCAGATGATCTGCCTGGCTAGGGAAGCTGCTTGTGTGCCTCTTACATCTTGCTCAACTCCTCTGCTAAATTAGGGAAAATTGCCAGGCTGGCCCCCTGCTCCCTTGCCCGTGTCTCTGTTGAGAAACTGAGTCTTATCTCAGTTCCTTGACTTGTGCAGAAGCAACCCACTGCAACAGCAACCAGAGGGACCCAGGGCTCTCCTTTTATCTGCTGTGCTGCTAACAGAGGAGAGAGAGAGAGGTTTAATTATCCTCAAGTGTCAGTTCGAGATAGATCTGCTGGGACACAGCTCTTGGCAGGTGCGAAATAACAGGACGTTTTCATGCATGGGAGGCTGAGCTGGGAACAGTTCAGTGGTTTAATTGGAAAGGTTCATATCAGGGTACAGAAAATGGGATGGTGCAGGCTCCAGCAGTGATGCTGGTGCTGCAGCTGTGGGAAGGGAAGATGGATGTCGAAGGCTAAGAACTTTCTCTGGTGCACTGTTCTGGGGGCTCAGAGCAGAGTGGGTGGTCTGGGCTGGGAGCACAATCTCAAGTCAGTGCTGTCCTCTGAGGGGTTGATGAGTTTGCAGCCTCATTTTGTTTCTGTTCAGCTTTTCAGTCAATTCCCAAGAGAGTCCTTGTGGGGCCATTAGGAGACATGCCCCTGTTTCATGGGGCATCCGGGAGCAAAAAAAGAGGGAATTACTCCAGAATCAGGGCACTCTGGAGCTGTTTTTTAGGCATGTACGATGGGATGGCCTCAGGGATTATCAAACAGCTTCTCCTCTCTCCTCCTGCCAAAATCCCTGAAATGGTTTACAGGAACTCTCAAGATAATCAATTGAAGACTTTCAGTTCTTTGACTCCACGGGGAAAAGCCCCTTCCCTGTCTAAATGGCTGTGAGTTTGGCTTCCATGGAGAATGTCCCCAGCCCTGCCTGGTCTGCAGTACTGGGATGCATGGACCATCTGTCTCCTCATCTCCTGTCCTGTCTGCACCATGGTTGTTGGCCTCTGGAGCCGGATTTGGATCAGAGAGCAGAATCTCCTTCAGCTGTGGCGTTGCACCATGGCTGTATTGCTACCACAAAATGAGGCCTCTGTCTGTCCAGACCCCGTACTGTCCTGGTCTGGGACTCTCCAGTGGGATGAAAAAGGACATAATATTTCATTGTTCATCCAGATTTGCTGAGCTCTTCTTTGTCCTCATTCCCAGGGGACCATGGGACACAGGTTGTAAAGAAATAGTGCCCCCATCCTTGCTGGCTTGCTGGAGGGGATGTGGTATGAGGACCTAGTGCTGCTGCTTTTCTGGGTGAAGTCATGGTGTTGTGTTATTGTAGTTATGTTCATTGTTTTAGGGTTCAAGATAATGACTTAGCTGTACTTCATTTCAGTGCTGGGTGTAACAAGGCAGCCCTTGTGCAGTTCCTACCGGCATAAAACAGCAGTTGGTGTTAGAGGTCTGGGGTCCATCCTGTCTCACCTATACTGATCATGTTCTAACCCCTCGTGCTAATCTCTGATGTCTTTCTCTAACGCCGTAAGAGGACATTCAGTAAACACATCTTTGTAAGATGGTGAGTTTTGTAGACGCGCAGAGATGGTGTTTTCAGGAAGACCCAGTTATTAAACATAATTTTGTCACCGTCTCCTTCCCACTTGTGCTTGGTGAACGCTGCCATTTGCTTGTAGCCGTGCTCTGGTCCTGCCAAAGTCACATCCCTCCTTTGCAAATCTGCATTAGTGAAACTTGTAGGCTGTTGTTTGGGTGCAAACCTTGTGGATGCTCCTGGTGCTCACTGCTGTGGCCTGCTTGGATGCTCCTGATGCAGGAGAGCTGGGTATCTGGGCAGGGGTGACTCAAGGGAGGACATCTCTGAGAGGAGGCTTTCTGTCTCTCTTTGTGGTTAGCTGTGCCTGAGTGTCTGACAAAGGCATTTTGGAGATATGGTTGAGGAGCAGAGTCTCCTCCTCACTTTTCCTTGGAGGTCAAACATCCAGGAAATGGGCTGGACCAAGTCAGAGCAGAACCCTCACTCACTTCAGTTGCAACAGTCTTTTGGTGCCACCTGTGACAGGAGCATATTTAGGCTTGATGTATATCCCCCACCTTGACTTTGGATCAAGGCGTAAGAGCTTTTGACATGCACACAGTAAGAAGGGGGGAAAAAAATTAAACCCACAATCCTCAAAACGTTTGCAAATCCAAGAGCTTATGCTCACTCTGGGCAGGCAAAACCAAACAAGGGCAGGATCAGTAAATCACAGAATCAGCCACTTTCATCATCAAACATGAGGCAGCTGGAAATGCAGCTGACACGGAGCATCATACCCACACTGAGTCCCTGTGGAGATGCTCAGGATCTGGCATCATGGGTTTTTCCTTTAACACCATTGCAGCAAGGGGCTTGGGAATGAGCAGGGATCCCAGCCATACCTGGATGGGGTTGGGCTTCAGATGGGTGTGATTAAGGAAAAAAGGCTGCTTGTGGTACCAAAGGCACCCACTAAATGAACCCCTTGCTGGGGTTGTGCAAGGGACAGTGGCTGATTCAGGACCAAATGGGATGAGTTAATGCAAGCCCACAGCTTTGTTAAAGGGATCTGATAACTTCAACCAATAACTGAAGTGCTAAGGAGGGAGAACTCCCACACTTTTAGCACAGGGAGAAGATTTAAGCCATCCCTGCAAAGCTAAGAACATCCCATATGGAGATCAGCACATCACTGCCTACAGCAATAACCATAAAGGGGCTGCTTGTACAGCATCCCATTGCTTTAGCCACTCTCCTACATCCACTTGCCACCAAAGCCCATCTCCAGTGGGGCCAGTCCATGCTGCTGGTGAGCAGAGGCCATCCTCTCTTCATACCTGGGAGAGCAGTGGAGAGGTGGAGTTGTATCATGAGATGTGAAGGGATCAGGCTGTCCTGGCACATCAGCATCAGTGGTGCAGGACACCTTGAGGCAACCACTGCTGAAGCTCATTGTGTGTGGGGCATGTGTTGGCAGCAGTGGGGAGAAGATGGGCTGGCATCTGGCCTTCAGATCTGTCCTTCTGCCATCCCAAGAGCAAACTTGGAGCCGGCAGAAGTAGGGCAGGTGGCGTCTGCCTCGCCTGCACTTGTGTTGAGCCAGGCTGGTGTGTACTCTGTGGGCAGCAGCC